GGCATTTGCGGTCACCTCCAGAGGTGACCGCAAAATCCCTTGCCCTGCGGCTTCCCAGGCCGCTGACAAATGGGCACAGGAATAGTACATTTGCGAATTTGGTAGATCCGTGTGACCGGCCTTTTCCCCTTTTTTGGGGATTTTGGGAATACAGGTCCCCGTGTGACCAAATGGTGAGCTATGGCATAGATGCCGTTCTGCCCAGGAGAAACGGGGAACTAGAGTCTAGACCGATTGCGCCTACTCCGCCGAATAGTATCTTCTCGTTTACACATAGCTATTGCATACCTAAGCGTACCAAAGGAGACTTCAGCAAACACGTGGAGGAGAGCCAAAAAATAACAACATCCAAACACCACGAGACAAGATTAAACCACGACATAGTGGGGGAAAAAGACAGAAGACAACAGAAAAGTAGACCGTAGTGGCGAGATTGTCAACAAAAAGATCAATCGAACGAGGAAGGAGGAAGGAGGAAGGAGGGAGGAGGAAAGGGAGGAGGAGGAGGAGGAGGAGGAAGAAGAAGAAGAAGAAGAAGAAGAAGAAGAAGAAGAAGAAGAAGAAGAAGAAGAAGAAGAAGAAGAAGAGCAAGGGGAGTAGCGACGATTATAAATTCTGAAGCCCAAGCCAACGTGAATATTAAAACTTGAAGCACAAAGAAACTGCCATCCTTGAAGAAACGAAAGCGTTAGGCGCAAAAAACGCCAGCAGAATCCGATCCTTCCGAGGAGTAACAGGTAACGGCTGCGCTCGACATGTTTCGACTGGTGCCGTAAGCCAGCCATCGTCAGGGGCTTTCGCAAAGCTACAGAATGAAAATAACCAGCACTACTGAGGCTTAAATAGATGGGATAGAATTGCACCAAACAKGAATGACCCATCTTCTCACGTAAGGAAAACAAAAACAAAGAAACAAAAATCAATCAAAAATCAAACACAAGCAATGCCAATGTCCAACTACCCAGATATGCAGATTAAGATGCAAAATCCACTGGTCGACGTGCACCCTTAAATATAAGTCCTCAATAGTTACGAGGGCAAGATAAGGAAGAGAACTGTCGTAGTAAGGGGGGGGGGGGGGGGGAGGGGGGGAGAGAGAGAGAGAGAGAGAGAGAGAGAGAGAGAGAGAGAGAGAGAGAGAGAGAGAGAGGAGGAGGAGGAGGAGGAGGAAGGAAGGGAGGGAAGGGAAAGGTAAGAGGCGGGTTGGAGAAGAACAAGGAAGTCGCCGCGACGCCTGGTGTCGAAGCACTTAGCTTGGAATTGGTAGATGCAGCACCGTGCTTCAGAAGGATCCGTTGAGCAGATTCTATCATCCAGGGTAACTGCGCATGGAAGGGAGATAAGGAGATGACTGAAAGTAGGTGGAAGACAAAATAGACGAGACCCGAAGATAAACCGTGCGAGACTTAGCGCGACCGGTGTCGGCGACGGACGGAGCAACTTAGAGTTGTACAGTCCGAAGAATGAGATCAATGCTTCTGAAACCAGTGTTAAATACTCGAACCCAAGACGAGAGCCGAAGATAGACCGTGCCAGACTTAGCTCGACCGGTGCCAGCGGCGGACGAAGCAACTTGGAGCTGTACAGTCCGAAAAATGAGATCGATGCTTCTAAAAACCAGTGATAAATACTCAAACCCAACCGTGTTGCTTCAACAAGTACCCGTTGCAGAGGCCGCAAAAAAACGAGGGAGCCGTAAAGGCCCCATGCGCAGTGCTTATGGCAGCAGAATAGAGGGCGGCGACATAGATAAGAAAAGAGCCCTCGGCCGCATGGTCCAGGGATCGAAGATCCTTCGCTAATGCTAACCAATGAGATCAGTCAAAAAAAGACCCAGTTCCCTCCAATATTAGAGTACCCGATACCAGTTGGTGAGGTAGGAAACCCAATGATCCCAGCAGCCAGAGAACTTAGCCGAGAAGGAAATTAGCAAGTTGTCAAAATACCGATCAGGGTATCCTCTTATCCTGAGCTCTCTCTTCAATGTGATGAGGAACATAATTTCAGCAGCAGGAATCATGGAAAAAGAACGGGCCCTATGCAGAAAGGAACTGATAACGACAAGCTTCTGCTGTTTGCTCGAATAAGATTGAAAGTCTTGAATAGCTTGAAACTGAATGCACCCATTATCCAATAATGCGGCCTGGTTCCTATGGGTGGGAAAGCATCAGATCCCTAAGGGAGGTAGGAATTCAAACATCTGGCATCCCAGAAACTCCCAACAACCCCAATTACAAGTTGGCTCCAATTTCAGATTACTGTCGTAACAAGCTTGAAACTTCTGCAGGTTCTGTCGAGCTTTACATTCGGACGACCTAGAGTTCTCAGAGAATTGGATAAATATAGACACATCATCCACAAGGCGTATACCGTAAAAAAGGAGCCGATCCTTTCCTAAAGAGTTGAGAAAGTGAACTTCATTAAACATGCACAACATAACTGCGAGTGTCGGGCTCGACAACTTCCTCATTGGTACGCCCACATTCTGTTGCAGAACCCTGGTCATGGCTACGACGAAGGAATGTTGAAGATCATATGTGACGAAGGTTTCAATACAAGAGAAGCTGACAAAAACCCGACCCATCATGGATTTACTGTTGGAAAGCTTTGCCCCTTTCCCTTTGCGTTTCACCCAGACCCCATCGTACCCAAGTAACTGAAAATACTTGCCAAACCACCTGACTGCTTCCCTGATAGACGAGTGAGGTAATCTGGTAAACATTTCCTTAACATCATAGCTAGCACATAGAAGCCTATTACCCGCAGGAACTTGTTTGTTGATCTTGCCAAGAGCAGTGACGAGGTTTGTAGTTGATGAAAGATTGAAGTGCAGAAACCCAGACAGTTTGTTGACCAGAACATTCAGACAGCTAGTGATCTTCTTGCAGGCAGAGATGCTTGGCTCATTTGCAGAGGGACATATGAGTCTCCATTTGAAAATACTCTTGTGCTTAGGTAGGGCATATCCTTTACCAAAGGTCCCTTTTGGATTCCATTTTGCAATAGCATCCAGGGAGTCGGCGAGATAATGCTCACGACACATCTGAATGACATGCTCTTCGCGCTCTTGGACCAGCGTAAACCCCGGATTTTTTAGAAATAACGTATCCATTCCAGATTTGTACATGACCGGACAGTAGAAGAGCGTGTCGCCCGGGTTATGGTCAACAGGGGCGAGAACAAGACCATCAAAAAGCTTGTGGAAGAGACGCAAGCTATTAGACGAGAAGGGTAGGTCTTTGATGAAGTCGAAAGGTGGGATTGAAGGAGTCTGTGAAATAGGTGAGGAGCGAGGAAAAGCGCGGGACGAGGTAAAGCAACTATGAAGAAGGGAATCAGGAAAGGACCGCACTTGATCAAACGTGGCAAGGGGAAGATCCTGAAGGGTTTTAAGAATCTGAAGTTGGAGAAAGGAGCATAAGTACGAAATAGAGGGAGGAGGGATGTTCCTAGAGTTTTTGATCCAGGTCGGTAGCCAGTAGGAATCCATAGCTCGAAACATGACATGTCCAACAACAGTTGGGAACATAGCATTCAAGATAGAAGGGGTCTCGCATGGGGGCGAGTCATCAATCATCGTACATTCCCTGAGCGCTGTAAGGAACTGCGAACAATTACACACGGCTTTGTCCTGTCGGGAAAAAAACCGGAAATTATGCAGACTATCGGCGATACTGCAATGCTTAGTCCACACCACACGCATCCTTCTAACAAGCATGTCTGAAAGTACAACCGGGAGAGGAGAACTACAAATAATACGTGAACATACATTTCGAATCATGGGCTTGGATAAGCAATCAGCATACCGAATACGGAAAACCAAACGCTTGCGCGGACAAAAATCAAACTTTCGACGGATCACACCAGAACAAATCATCCTCAACGTTTGCCTCGTTTCCTTCTTCGAAAAACACCTAATCGTATTGTAAGCACAGACCAGGTTAACCAATGACCAAATGTACAAAAGTTTCCGATCCGGGGGATGGCTAAGCATCCGGCATACCGGAGCCTTAAGCGCTTCAGCTCGAGAACAAAACTTAGTAATATTCTCAATGAAGATGCTACTACCATGTTCGAGCCAAGCTCCACAATGTTTCAGTTGATCCCTTCTATACTTGCTGCGCACAATCGATGCACCATACAATCGCTTAATGACCTTCCAAGAGTCCGAGAGCCTGGATCCTCCTTTTCGTACGATCGCGACAGAGGAGATACCAGCCAAAACACAATCGCGAAGAATATGTAACAGGGAAATGAAAGAAACATCAGTGGAAGCGGAGAAAGTAGCAAACATGCCATTCCTACTTCTAGGGCACAAAGCAACGGGGGTGGAAGTTAAAGTAGTCTGGTGTGTTTCTCGTCTGGCCCTATTCCTTCTTTCCCGCTTCCCCGGCCTGCCCTTCCTATTCCTCCGTTTCCCCCCCCCAGGTCGAGAATTAAGATAAGGAGACGTTAACCCAATAATGCGTTTCTCAGCAAACAGGAGATCATTCGTTGACACAGTAGCAAGAGGGATAGCAACATAGTGCTTAGCACCAATTCTTCGAAGCCATGCGTAAAGTTTATAATTGCGAACATCACCCGACCGGATCATCAACAACCGATTGACGTGCTCCGTCCATCTAATCTTAAGTGTGCGAGAGGTACATCCTATATAATAATGCTTAACAAAAGGGGACACAACACAATACACCACCGGCCCAGGTGACAGACATAAGTCATAGGAAGATAAGAGCAAATGCCGAAGATAGACCGCAAACTTATCACACCATGGAAGCTGCCTACGAAGGATAAGAGCAATAACCAACATCCGATAGATGTAGTTGCTGGCCAAGTTAATCAGCCCGGATTTGGTCTCCCGGAATGGTAAGCAGCCTCTTACCAAAGCCCATAGGGCTCGTTCGCCTGGGCATCGATCCTAGCCCTCACGAATGTTGTCATCATCCTCAACATCGACTTGCTGGGTACCATCAATGCCAGGTCCCAGATCCGTTTCCCCGTGAAGGTCCTCTGCTTCAGAATCAGGGACAACATCATTGGCCTTGTTGTCAGGGATAGGACGCCTTTGGTCGAAAGCGAGGGAAGCCCGCAGCTCAACAATATCGTTGATAGCTTGTTCGCATGTCACAAAACTGATACCCTCCTTCCCACATATAATCTGCAAGCCATGCTTTCTCAGACGCTTTATATATTTCTTCGTCTCCTTCACAAAATCCTCCCTCTCAGCCACTGCCATCTTCCTCGCCAATCGGACTGAGGTATGCTTTGGTGGCGAAGGCCGAATAGTCAGATCATCAAGCCCCTCCTCTTGATGCGCGGCCTGATCATGTTCATCATCATCGTCATCCGTAGCTTCATTCATTCTTTTTGCCAAATTTGACCAAGGAGTACGCCCCTGCCGGACCAGCTTACTTACCGCCCTCTCGAATCGATCCCTCAGAGCCTGTACCTCCATCTCAGCCAGACGTTTCTCCTCTTTAGTGTCGTTCACGGCCTTGAGCAATTTGTGAAAGTCTTGTGTCGAAGGGTTGCTTGTGCCCATTGTTCGAGCTCTTCCTCTGGCCGGTGCCTCTAGTGGACTTGCGATACAGACGTTCGAACCAGCACGCTTGAGGCCGGCTTGTCCGACGGAACGCGTAAGTTCTTCCATCTGCTTGCGGATGCACTCATACTCCTTACGCAGCATGTCAACCTGCTTTTCCAGCCTCGTTTTCTCCAGATCATCGTTGACGCGAGTACGGCGATCACGATCAACGCTCTTCAGGTTATCAGCCCTGCCGAGAAACAACTCACATGCATCATTAATCTTGGAGCCGACAATGGAGCTAAGACGTTCTTCGAAAACTTGTCGTTCCTTCTGTTTCCTCAGAGCTTTCTCTTCAGCCTCCTTAGTCTTCTTCTTTTCTTCTTCTTCTTTGATAAGCCTTTCTTTTGCCTTAATAGCTTCCTGTTTAGCTACGAGTTCCCCAACCATAAACTCATACACACTATCGAGCTTATCCTGGTTGAGCTTCCACTAAGACTGTCGAGGGGCCCTTAACCCGAAGGTGGATGATGTAGTAGTCCGATGGCTCAAGGAGAGGACTGTAGTCGTCATGTTTCAGGATGAGGCCAAATCCCTGCCAAACAGATTGAAAGAAATGCTTATTAGGATCTATGAGGATGGTTGGTGTGCTTATTCGACCGTAAATCCATCTTTGAAACGGCGGCGGGGGGAATGTAATGGTTGGATGAGGTAGCTTAGGGAGGCGGGGGTAGAGTGAGCAAGGGGGCTTGCGCGGGATAAGACACATTAGCAGCGGACGACACATGATCAGGGTTAGACATAGCGAGGGGTAGAAGGGAGGGTTGTCGAGGGTGACGTGGGTAGGGGCAATCCCGCTGAAAGTGACCAGGCATGTCACAGTTGTAGCAGAGTCTAGGAGCAGCCATCGCGAGGGAGTAGAAAAGGGTACATAATAGGAGTGGTTGAAGGATCCCAGGAAAGAAAGCTATGCGTAGCTGCATGAATGGACACGCAATGCCAGCAGATGGGAAAAGTGACGCGCCAAGCCCAGATCGGAGGATGGTGAAGTGACAGCGAAAAACCAGCTTAAGCACTAGAGGGAACTGTTATGGGGGGAACACAACAAGCAAGCAAGGGGGGATATCGACAAGCGCAAGCAACCGCGCGTCAGTAGTATAACTTCTACTAAGGTTATTGCTTGAACCGCAGGTGAGCTGTGGCATAGATGCCGTTCCGCTTAGGAGAAACGGGGAACTAGAGTCTAGACCGATTGCACCTACTCCGCCGAATAGTATCTTCTCGTTTACACATAGCTATTGCATACCTAAGCGTACCAAAGGAGACTTCAGCAAACACGCGGAGGACTCTAAGCCAAAAAATAACAACATCCAAACACCACAAGACAAGATTGAACCACGACATAGTGGGGGAAAAAGACAGAAGACAACAGAAAAGTAGACCGTAGTGGCGAGATTGTCAACAAAAAGATCAATCGAACGAGGAAGGAGGAAGGAGG